CTACTCTCCTGAGGGCCACTGTGTTTCTAGGTTCCTCCTAAGCTTCGCACAGCCAGGCAACACACATTTTTCACACTTGCATCCACAGTCAGTGAACAGTCTATGAGCTTTTTTTTTTGTTGTTGTTATCTTATTACGGGAAATAACTTGGATGGGGTAATAGGGATTATGGGATGCCCAACGTGACTGAATCAATGCATTGGGACAACTTCCTTTCTATTTACAGAAAAAGATCCTGGACTGTTCTTCTCTTTGAATGAGTCTTTACGGATCAGTAGCAAAAGACCCTTACAGGGAAGGGACTCTCAGACCCTCTGAAAGTTAGCACAAATTGTTGCAAACTACATGCAGAAATATCTCCTTTCCCCTGTAGATCTGCTCCCAGCTCTACAACCTGCAGACAGTACCAGGCCTGTTGACTGCCCTAAAGATCTCCTAGGAGAAGCATAAAGGATTTACCACAATGCTGTCCTTTGAAAGCTTGCTACGCATGGCAGTCTCTCTCCTTGTAAATCCATGGGTGTGCTGATGTACTGATTCTGCCCTCCTTGTTCCCAGGCATTAATCCTGTGCATACTATGATGCTGAGTGGATCCTCCTGAGCCAGCTGGAGGCCAGCCCCCCTGCACATAGGGGACCCCTCCCAGGCCACTGACAGCTTCCTCAGTACTCCATCTTCCACCCGACTCCCCTGCTAGTCTGACTCTCCCATATTTATGGGTTAGCCTCACCAAACTACCTGGGCCACCAAGCCTAGGATTGGTTAGATTCCCATAAACATGCAGATTTAGGTCTCCACCCCTTCTGCCCACTGCTTTCCATGGTCCCTCAGAACCAGGTGGAGGCGATAGAGCCCCAACCTGCAGTACCCCGACCTGATTACAGACTCACAAGGTTACCATGAGTCATACTACAATACATTTACCTACACTAACACTAGCAGCACACTAGAGGGTGCTATATAAGTATGCATAAAATTTATGTATACAGTAGGTACTGGCAATAACCATAAAACAAACATCAGAGCAGGGATTGTATAGTATCACCTGTCCACGAGGAACAGATTTTAGGAGTAATAGACATAAGTTAAAATATTGGCAATATTGCTTCTGCTGATGAGGGCTAAGTGTTCAAGAAGATTTAATCTATTTATACAATCTGAGCTCAAAGGAATTGTACAAACAAAAAGCATTCTATACAACATATGCACATTATTAAAAATAAAGCACAGTTAAAAAATATTCTTGGAAAATTGTCAACACATTTTTACTTTGCCTAAAGTACTCAATTCCTAGCTTTGATATACTGATGTGATATAATTCATTATGCAAAGCTTATATACTTTACTTGCAAAAGTTTCCTGTGTTGTATCAGAATGACATGAATCACAAGAATATTTTTTGTAGGCCTTTAGAAATATGTTTGCAATAATGATCTTTGAGAAATCCAGGCAGCTGTTCTCCAATGAAACCTTTAATAATTCTATTTAAGTATCTATAAAAACAAAATGCTCACAAGAGTATGTGGTGTTATTTAAATATCACTTCTAATTCACAACCAGAAGTGTTTCTTGGAATGACATTTTCTCAGAAAACCCAGACCTTGATTTTATGGTTAAGCATCTTATTAAAGCAAAAGGTTTTTATAAACCATTTATTGCACTAGTATATTGATCCTTCAAATAGGCATCCACTCATAAATCTTTAGTTTGAACTTCATTTTTAGACTGTTAACATACATGGCTCTCTATATACTTTTATACACATGTTTCAATTCACTGCTAATATGTGGCAAAAATGCATTGCATTACAAATTATATAAGTAAAATGTAGCATTAATATAGATGTGTGACTAAGATGGTGCAAACCAGAATTCTATATGATGTAGATATGCACAAACATTTGGCGGTTGTTAACAACACATTTTGTGCTATTTTCACTTCCTGGTGACCCTCAGTATGCTCTTCTATAGTGTCATGCATTGTAAGAGCACAGAATCAACCATTTTTGTTATGCATTGATGCAGGTCACTTCTGCTTAGTGAGCCAGTGGCATCATCAATCACATAGCCATGTTTATGGTGATTGGAGAACTACTGATGAAATAATGTCATCATCATTGTTCAGTCAATTGCTCATTGCCAATGCTTACTGTTATATGTCAGTAATAATTTTGATATATTATGCCGCATGTTTCTGTACAAATCTCCAGTTATATTCTCACTGTCCCTCACCCCCTCTAATAAATTGCTAGGATAAAGTAAGAAATACATAAATATCACTGTTACTTGAATGCTTAGTTATACTAAGGCTTCTGAGTCACTTACACCAATCATTAATGGAGATCATTGGCCACACATGCTTTCCTAACTCTTGCCGGTTCACATGTATGCTGTGATTTGAACTGTGAAATAACATTTCTTCCTATTGTGCCTGTTCACATACAGTATGTCTCGTGCACTGGCTATGCTGATTCAGTGCGGTTTGAAAAAAGTAATGTATGATTTCTGAGCCATGAAATTCAGGTGTGGATTACAGGCTATTGACTTCTATGGAAACCGTTTCTAAACTGCACATGTGTGAAAAGGATAAAATCCTGACCTGATCCTGTCCTGAACCTGATGTAAACCTGACATGAACTGCTGAACAACTACTGTGTCAATTAGCTGTGAATCTAGGGCTGCCACCTCATCCCTTTAAAACCGAATACATATTCCATACACAGTTTCTGAGGCTAGTTTAATGCAGATAAGGCACTAGGTGAGTTTAACCACTTGCCCTCCTGAGGATTTACCCCCCTTAATGACCAGGCCTCTTTTTGCTACTCGGCGCTGCACTAATTCAACTGATAATTGCGCGGTCATGCACCCAAATGAAATTTATGTCCTTTTTTTCACACAAATAGAGCTTTCTTTCGGTGGTATTTGATCACCTGTGCGCTTTTTATTTTTCACGCTATAAACAAAAAAAAGACCAAAAATTTTGAAGAAAACCGATATTTTTTACTTTCAGCTATAAAAAATATATAGTAAACTCAAAGTTGGTTATAAATTTAGTCCAAAATGTATTCTGCTACATGTTTTTGATAAAAAAAATCCCAATAAGTGTATATTGATTGCTTTGTGTGAAAGTTATAGTTTCTACAAACTATGGTATAGATACTGCAATTTACGCCATTATTTTGCTATACAGCGCTGCGCTAGTTTAACGGACAATTGCGTGGTCATGCAATACAGTACATAAACTAAATTTACATCCTTTTTTTCCCACAAATTGAGCTTTCTTCCAGTAGTATTTGATCGCCTGTGTGTTTTTTATTTTTTGTGCTATAAAAAAAAAGAAAAAAAACAATATTTTGGACTTTTTGCTATAAAACATGTCCAGTAAAAAAAATGTAAAAATCAAATTTAGTCATAAATTTCTGCCAAAATGTATTCTACGACATGTCTTTGCTAAAAAAAACCCAATACGTGTAAATTAATTGGTTTACGTGAAAGTTATAGCATTTACAAATGGCAGGAAAGATACTGTGATTTTTATTTTTTTTTTATACTAATAATGGCAGCGATCAGTGACTTATGGCGGCGATCAGCGACTCATGGCAGGCCTGCCAGACTGCGGCGGACATTCTGAACTGGGGGGGAACTGACTTGGGATCACTGACATCCCCAGTGACACCAATACAGTGATCAGTGCAAAAAAAAAAAACACTGATACTGTATTAATGGTACTGGGGAGGAAGGGGTTAACTTTTTTTATTTACTGAAAGGGTTAACTGTGTGAGGGGAGTGTTTTACTAGGGGGCGGGGGTGTATACTGCAGGGGAACACGCAGATCCAGAGAGATAAACTCTTCTCTCCAGATCAGCATGTCAGGAGCTGACAGGGGACTGACAGAAAGCACATGATTGCCTCTCTGTCAGTGATTGCCGCTAATCGCCGGGACACGGTAGGTAATAACCGGCCGTGACCCGGCGACTGACACCCATGGACACGATCGGCCCTTTAACCCAAGACACTGTACTTCCTTATAGATGAGCTTTGGGGTTCTTTGAACTAATTTCCAGCTGAATTCTGAACTCATGCACTTATATTCGATGAGCTGCGAGCTGAATCATTCCCACCCTGCAGCTTACGTAACCAAAGAATGACCCAGCCTACAGCCCATTGGAGATGAAAAGAGCAGAAATTGAGAGATCAGCAGATGCTGAAGCTCATCTCTCCACACAGACCATCACCACTCCACACACTTAGTGACTTGAGTGTAGTTGATACCAGCCTTTGTTCATGCTGCTTCAGGTAATCCAGGGGCATATTTGCCACGAGGCAAACAAGGCGTTTGCCTAGGGTGGCACTTTTCAGGGGGGAGGCATGGCGGAGGCGTTACCACCCCCTCCCTTTCCAACAGAAAGGACACTTCCATGGGAAAGGGACAAGGGCGTCTGTGTCTTACCTGTGTCCACGACTCCATATCCCACTTCAATCCGGTCCACAAGACACTGCTGGAGGAGGGGTGGAGAGGGTGTCTGTCCGGTGTCTTCAACTCCCTGGATCTTGATTGCAATGTGGGCGGGATGACATGACATCCCTCTCATCTGGCCACATCCCCGGGATCACTAGGCAGCCTATGGAAGCCCGTCCCTCCCTCTGCAAGCTTCGCCTCCTTGTCGGTGATTGGCCACTGGATCTGTAGCTCAGGAGAGGCACACAGGCGGCCAATAACCTTCAAGGAGGCGGAGCTTGGAGAGGGGGAACCGAGATGCAGCGCGAAGATCAAAGAAGATCGAGTGAGGGACCAGCTGACTCTGCTGAAGAGGAGAGAGGCCAGAGAAGGAAGACAGCTGATCGGGAAGGTAAGTATAGCCGGAATCTGGGCAGAGCAGATGGTGCTGCTGCAGCCAGGTATGCTGGCTGTGGATGGGAGAGGGAGGGAGCCGAGGCTGGAGCAGGGGTCAGCAATGTAAGCATCATTGGTGTCAGTGGGAGGAATAGTGCCCCATCATTGGTGTCACTGACACCAATGATGGGGCACTATTCCTCTCACTGACACCAATGATGGGGCACTGTTCCTCCCACTGACACCAATGATGGGGCACTATTCCTTCCACTGACACCAATGATGGGGCACTATTCCTCCCACTAACACCAATGATGGGGCACTGTTACTCCCACTGACACCAATGATGGGGCACTATTCCTCCCTCTGACACCAATGATGGGGCAATATTCCTCCCACTAACACCAATAACGGGGAACTATTCCTCCCACTGACACCAATGATGGGGCACTATTCCTCTTTAGGCTCCACCTCTTCCTATTAGAGCCCCACCCACTGACAACAACGATGGGGCACTATTCCTCCCAGTGCCCCAATGTTGGTGTCAGTGGGAGGAATAGTGCCCCATCATTAGTGTCAGTGGGAGGAATAGTTCCCCACCATTGTTGTCAGTGAGAGGAATAGTGCCCCATCGATTTTGTCAGTGGGAGGAATAGTGCCCCACCGTTGGTGTCAGTGGGAGGAATAGTGCCCTATCATTGGTGTCAGTGGGAGGAATAGTGCCCCATCGTTGTTGTCAGTGGGTGGGGCTCTAATAGGAAGAGGTGGAGCCTAAAGAGGAATAGTGCCCCATCATTGGTGTCAGTGGGAGGAATAGTTCCCCGTTATTGGTGTTAGTGGGAGGAATATTGCCTCATCATTGGTGTCAGAGGGAGGAATAGTGTCCCATCATTGGTGTCAGTGGAAGGAATAGTGTCCCATCATTGGTGTCAGTGGGAGGAATTGTGTCCCATCATTAGTGTCAGTGTGTCAGTAGGAGGAATAGTGTCCCACCGTTGTTGTCAGTGGGAGGAATAGCACCCCATCGTTGTTGTCAGTGGGAGGAATAGCACCCCATCGTTGTTGTCAGTGGGAGGAATAGCACCCCATCGTTGTTGTCAGTGGGAGGAATAGCACCCCATCGTTGTTGTCTGTGGGAGGAATAGTGCCCCATCATTGTTGTCAGTGGGAGGAATAGTGCCCCATCATTGTTGTCAGTGGAAGGAATAGTGCCCCATCGTTGTCAGTGGGCAGATCTCTAATAGGAAGAGGTGGAGCCTAAAGAGGAAGAGGTGGAGTTTACAGATGAAGGGGTGGATCTTAAACATGAAGGGGTGGGGCAAATTTAGATGTGGGGGTGCCCGATTTTAGTCTTGCCTAGGGCAGTACAAAACCAAAATACACCCCAGAGGTAATCAACCTGCACCTGTGCAGCTAGCAATCTGATTCCAGATTAAAAGGTCTGATGTTGACACTACAGTTGAGTAGAACAGGTTTGGTCAGGGGAGATTTGTTAAATAGCTCACAAGTCTTGATTGTTAATCCAAATCACATTAAAATCAATGGGGGTCAAATCCTTAATATCAATTCTCACAATTTTCATGGCTGACAGGAAAGGGATTGTCAAACAAATGGCATGGAAGGCTGAACACTGCCAGGGAGGCATGTACCAATGCAAAAAAAAAATGTTGTGGGGAACAGAAATTTTAATTTAAAGTAAAACATTAAAAATGACCATTTACTTTCAAAACAAGCCTGGGAGATACCTTATACCTGCCAATGAAGTGGTGTCCCTGTGCAATGTTTACAATTTACTACAACAAAACATACATTCACAGAAAAAGCTGTTTAACTTGCTGGCAAATGACATTTCCTTGCCAGTTTGGTTTCTTTGTAAAAAGAAAACAGTATGGGGACTTCCAACATAAATAAAAGACCCTTAAGGGTCTGATATTTATTTTGGGGGAACGTTTAGGGGTCCTCATGCAATTTTTTTACAACAACAAAAATCTAAATTACCAGCATTTTTTTTCCTTCTAAACCAGGGGCGGACTGACAACTCATGGGGCCCCCGGGCAATAGGGGATCATGGGGCCCCTGTGTCCTTGCCCACACTCAAAAAAGCCTATGAAAAAGGTACCAGGGGCATCTCATGGGGCCCCCTACTGACCCTGGGCCCTCGGGCAGTACCCGAGTTTCCAAATGGTCAGTCTGCCCCTGTTCTAAACTGTCACTTTAGCTGTAGTACATCCTCCAATTTTGGAATGGATTTCAAGGGTGTACCCCACTCAAACAATGATATGACGCCCCCACTAATATTAATATTAAAACTTTAATTGAAGCATGCAGCATGGCTGACCAGAAAATGGGGGAATAAGTACTTGTCCCTCCTTCCTGAAACAGGAATTCAGGTTGCATGCCTGGATGAGGGGTAGGTTTTTTTGCTTTTGCATAAATTGTTAACATCAGTACAAGACCTAAAGGGTCAGCTGTGAATTTTGGGGGACTCCATTCCTTTTTTTTTTTTATATGTATCAGTTGTGATCCCCAACCATTTACTCACATTCAGCTGTCAACAGAAACATAAGCTGACAGTTGATTGGCAGGGTGGGGATACATCACTGGCTACTTGGACAACTAGTCTGAGTGGAATTCTATCACATTTAGCAGGGGTAATGGGAACCAAATGTTAAAAACTAGTAATTGGCACTTTCTAAGCTAATAGGTAAGGGACTGATAAACAATTGGAGGTTGCCCTTAGGAACAAGTACCAAATCAAAACAAAATTTGTAAAAGTTAAGTTTGGTAGGAAGCAGTGATTTTAAAAATGAAACATTAAAAATGCAAAAAATTCTTTAACAAATGCTTGGGAGAAGAATAACAAACATGTTATACTTACCTGCAGTAAAGAGCAGCCCGGATCCTCCTCTTCTCGGGTCCCCCCACGGCGCTCCTGGCCCCTCCCACCTGTAGGGTGCTCCCACTATGGTGCACTCCTTAGCTGTGGCTCTGCGTGTCCATTCACACACAGAGAAATGGCTCCGCTCCATCCCCTCCTGATTGGATCACTGGTTGTGATTGACAGCAATGGGAGCCAAAGGTTCCAGCTGCTGTCTCAACCAATCATGAGTGAGAGTCCCTGGAGAACCGAGGCTCTCCTGGACATCGCTGGATTAGGAGGGGGCTCAGGTAAGTGTTAGGGGAGGCTGCTACACACAGGGTTTTTACCTTCATGCATAGGATACATGAAGGTAAAAAACCTTGAGACTCTAGAACCACTTTAATCAGCCTGGGAAGTGGTGCATTTTTCTCAAATTGCACTGCACTGAATTTTATGTGAAAATGTGGTGTGCATTCCTGTAAAATTCATAGGTGATTCAAAGTGTGAATCTAGCCTAAAGGTCAACCCTGAGCCCCCCTAGATTACAGGGCTATTAATAATAACCCTCACAAACATGTACCTGTCAGTGGTTTTATAGCTGGAAGAAAACACGGAGAGAAATCAGATATAGAAAAAATATTTTGACATAATCACTGACTGACAGTATTTTCAGTGTAGACACTGTGGTGTTGGGGTGATCATGCTCATTTTCCAATGAGTTGTGCTAGTCCAAAGTGCATTTTAGGACATGGCTACCAATTTTTTTTAAACAGAACAGAATAATATACATTGGAAATCTTTTGCCCACACAGGAGTATCCACCATCAACACAGTCAACTGAAAATGGCAAGCCACCTGGCTTCCTTGTTAGCAGCACCACTGCTCTTCTTACCAGTCCCTCCAACTGAGTTGCCTAGCTCTCTTTGTTCTCTCAGTTTACTTTAGCCACAGCACCTTGCTGCATGGCACACTCCTGGCCTATCGATAGGATACCACTAGACTCCTGGGATGAGACCACCCAGGTTCTGGCTGGGGCAAACCTGACCCCTGGCTAAAACCTCCTGTCTCCAATATGGGAGCTCTGAGCTATCCTCACGCTTAGTATCTATTAACACTGCACACCTGTGTAATCACACAGGCTGCAGGCATCCAGCAAAATTGGGACACAGGACTGAGGGTTCCATCGTACTCAAGACGCTTTGGAACCTTCAAGCACCAGACCCTGAACCAGGATTACAAAACACGGAGAAAGATTAAAAACACAACTTTTTCTGCTCAGAAACTATAGTCTGGAACTTCTTATTAAACCCTAATGTGAATCCTGTGTCATTTCTACCTTAATTTCCTAATCTCAGACTGTGGCAGGGCCTCACACTGTCACAACACATTATAACAAATCACAAACAAAAACAAAACTTTCTTACACCACACACACATCGAACGCATATGTCTAACTGGCACACCTATTAAGCCAATGCATACATATGTATAGTTTATGTTCATCTAAAATAGGTGCACCAGCACTTAAAAAATTATAATATGTGATAAATTCCAAATGAATTTAACAGACAATAAAAGAGTGTATACAATAACATCCACCAAAAGTGAGGAAAAAAAACCCCTTAAATTACAATGTTCAAAGTGAAATTGTTGAACATGATGGTGAATGGTCACATCCAAGTTAGAGTTGCCACCTTATCCCTTTAAACCCAAACACATATTAATTTACACAGGTTCTGTGACTGGTTAAGGTGGTAATTAAAATCACCTAGTGCCTTATCTGCATTAAATCAGCCACAGAACCTGTGTAATTAATATGTGTTTGGTTTTAAAGGGATGGGGTGGCAACCCTAATCCAAGTGTAAATCCCAGAAGGAACCAGTGTTCTAAGGTTGTCCTCGCCAGCAGTGCTCACACACTTCTTACCAGAAAGATGAGATCCCAAACAAACAAGATCAAATATGCTTAGATGATACACAGCCATGCACTATATGATACGATTCAAGTCTCTAGGGCTCCTTTGCCAAATCACATTCAATTATATGACACTACCGCAAAACTTCCATTAGGGCTCTTAAATTGTGCCCTATTGCAAGCCTGATTCTGATGTTAAAGAACTTTAATGGCAAGTAGCAAGTATCTCTATCAAAATAAAATAAAAAACATTAAAAGCCCCAAAAGAAATATAAATTCCACAATACCACCCTCAAAAACAATTAACTTGCAGCTAAAAAAGTTTGTTCTACTTAAAATAGCGTTAACTAACTGACCCTAATCTCTCCCTATGCAATTTATCAACTTCCCTGTATTTTTGTTACAGCATGTAACAGTTCTGCAGCTTTGCTGCTGATCTATCACTTATATTCCAAAAGACCAGCAGGCATGTCACCCAGTCCCACCCCAACCAGGCCTTCTCCCTTTTTAATTAATCTGGCTCATTTCTCTCATTCATTGCCTGTGCAACA